CAATTCTGAGTTTAAATCTCAGTTCTGAGTTTATATCCCATAATTCTATATCTATCTTGCAATTCTGAGTTTATATCTTGTAATTCTGAGTTTATATCTTGTAATTCTGAGTTTATATCTTGTAATTCTGAGTTTATATCTTGTAATTCTGAGTTTATATCTCGCAATTCTGAGTTTATGGGCCCTATTTTAACGATCTAAGCGTATGGTCTGAAGTGCATGGCGCAGGTGCACTTAGGGCGTGTCTGAATCCACTTTTGTTATCTTAACAACGGCAAAAACGGTCGGCGCTACATTTATGTAGCCTACACAATAATACACATTAATAATATTTGACAATGTAATCCTTTAATTTTTTATATTTGGCATGCTTGTGTGCTGCTGCGCGTCCCTGTGTGTTGAACACACCTCGTTTTCAGACCAGCACGCCCATGAGTGAACAGATGGGTGCAAATGCGTTTGCTATTTAAACAATGTGGCACTGGACGTGAAAATGATAACTGCGTCGGGCTGAAACTAGCAAAAAACATTTGCGTCGCGCCTGGCGCCGCATTGCGCCAGCTATATGATAGGGCCCTGTATCTCAATTTTGAGTTTATATCTCAATTCTGAGTTTATATTTCAATTTTGAGTTTATATCTCGCAATTCTGAGTTTATATCTCGCAATTCTGAGTTTATATCTCGTAATTCTGAGATTATATTTTACAATTCAGTTTATATCTCACAATTCTGAGTTTATATCTCAATTCTGAGATTATATCTTGTAATTCTGAGTTTATATCTTGTAATTCTGAGATTATATTTTACAATTCAGTTTATATCTCGTAATTCTGAGTTTATATCTCAATTCTGAGTTTATATCTCGTGATTCTGAGATTATATCTCGTAATTCTGAGATGATATTTTACAATTCAGTTTATATCTCGTAATTCTGAGTTTATATCTTGTAATTCTGAGATTATATCTTACAATTCAGTTTATATCTCGTAATTCTGAGATTATATCTCACAATTCAGTTTATATCTCGTAATTCTGAGTTTATATCTTGTAATTCTGAGATTATATCTCACAATTCAGTTTATATCTCGTAATTCTGAGTTTATATCTTGTAATTCTGAAATTTTATCTCCCAATTCAGTTTATATCTCATAATTCTGAGTTTATATCTCAAAGTTCAGAGTTTATATCTCAATTCTGAGTATATTTATCTCAATTTTAAATGTATATCTCGATTTTGAGTTTATACCTCACAATTCTGATTTTTGTTTCTCAGAATTGCAAGAAAAAGTCAGAATTGTGAGATATAAACAACTAACCTTTTTTTTTAACCCTATGGTAGAAACAAGCTTCCATACAAAATAGAGCCTTTCAGAATGATGCAAGTCCATTTTGTCATGTTTATTTTGTAAAGTACAATCAAACTGGTCGTTATCACATCAGTCCAGTATTATGGGGTCATGTTATTTGAATGTGACCTTTGACCCATTGATTTGTTCATTTACAGCTGAAGAAGGTTCGTTCTCTGCTGTTGGCCGGCGCGAGTGAATACGATGGTTTTTCGCAGCAGTTACGGCAGCTGGAGGGGCCACTCAAACTCTCGGCTAAAGATCTGCGCTCGCAGGTGGTGCGCGAGGCCTGTATCACACTCGGGTGAGTGAAATGTTTGTTTTTAGAGTAAAAGATACTTCAATAAAAGCTGCTTCCTCTTCAGGAACTCGAGCTGCGTCGGAAAACGCTAGGGGAACGCCTTCTGTGACCACGCTCTGAATCACATGTGAAATCAGTCCAATAGCTGAGCGGGACGTCACGGGCGGGTGACGTCATGACCAGGAAGCTATAAAAGCACGTGCGGCGGAGCCAGCGTCAGCTTTCTGTCATTCAGCGAAGCGCTCTGTGTGTATCAGTCATATTTATTGTTGTCTGTCAATTGTGAAAAGTCTATAAGCTCCAGCTATGTCTAAGCTCATGCAAAGACAAAGCATTTCAAGGGCGAGAGCAAGCCACGTTGTAGGTTGTGTTTATGCTAAGTGGTGGATCAGGATGCTATTCCATAGCCTCGAGTCCTGTGATCTCCCCTCTCCTTTGGGGGTCAAGACTCACTCCTCCAGAAGTTGGCCTTCGGGATGGCGGGCCCCGCCTACTTTAGCCACTCCGGGCTCTTCTGTTCTCTCGCCCTAGCTGTGCAGTCTTCCACACTAGGCAGAGATTTGGAAGTCTGGCGGCGTGGGCATTCTCATTCCCCTAGCGTTTTCCGACGCAGCTCGAGTTCCTGAAGAGGAACGTCTCAGGTTACGTATATGTAACCCTGGTTCCTCGAGGGAACGAGACGCAGCGTCTAGGTGCCATACTTCCGGCATCCCTGCCAGCGCTTGCCTCATTCCTGAAGCTGACGCTGGCTCCGCCGCATGTGCTTTTATAGCTTCCTGGTCATGACGTCACCCGCCCGTGACGTCCCGCTCAGCTATTGGACTGATTTCATATGTGATTCAGAGCGTGGTCACAGAAGGCGTTCCCCTAGCATTTTCCGACGCAGCGTCTCGTTCCCTCGAGGAACCAGGGTTACATACGTAACCTGAGACGTTCATCTCCTGAATTGTTTTCTGCAATGGTAATCGGTCTTATCCACTGATAGGCTTTCAAATATACCTACATCTTTCCGGTTTGATACAGTTGCTGGTATAAACCCCCTTACCAAAAAGCAGTATACTTCACGTTTATTTTATTAAGTATACTTAAGTAAAGTTCAAGTATATTTTTAAGTATACTTTATGTAGTAAGTATACAAATATCAGTGTACTAGTAGTATACTTGTAAGTGTACTATTTCAATACTCCTTGGGACTAAATTGGCCCACTTTCTAGTATATAAAAGTATACTTTTAAGTATAACAGTAGTAAACTTTGAGTACACAACTAGTTTACATCAAAATGTTTAGTTTGTACTGCAGCTATACTAAAAGTGAACTTATAGGTATACTGATAGTTTACTAATTAAATACTTGTAGTAGCATTTTTAGTATACTTTGAAGTATAGTCTCAGTAAACTACTAGTTTAGTAGTTTTATACTGCAAGTATACTCGTAAGTTTTCTTTAAGTGAATTTTACATCATACTTTAAGTATACTACTATGTCCCTATTTAGGTATTCATTTGTATATATTTGTTATATGAATATCTGAACATACAAAACATCAAAAGAACAGGGTATCTGCTTGTAAACAAAAACATTTTATTCTAGCTTCATGCATTCTTTTTTTTATAAACACTTGAATGTGGGTAAGTTTTATAAAAAAAAAAGAAAGAAAAGAAATAACATTTTGAACAAAAAGTTGACAAAAGACTATTAATTGGATTCAGAATGATAATCAAAATGTAGATGGAGTCGATCAACACCCCAAAGCTTGACAGTTATTATTACCTCTTCATTGGTCGACATTTTATTCCATAATGTTACATAGTTTTGATACTGTTTTATGTCTGATGATCGTGTTAGAATACATGTGGAAGCATTTGTTGTTTCGGTTTCTTCTTCACTTGTGTTTTTTGGAAATTCTGTACAGAAGATGTGTAATAGCGCCCCCTACAGTATAACAATGAAAACACGGATTCTTGGAGCACAAGTAGCTCAAATATATTTAGACATTTTCTAAGTATAAGTCAAGTATACTTAAATGTAATTTTAAGTATATTTCTGAGAAGTACATGAAGCCCATGTCTGAGAAGTACTTAAAAAGTAGACTGAAGACAGAGAATGTGAAGCACTTAGTGTGCATGAAAACACACACTCTCATTAGACCGTCAGACTCTGTTTCAAACCATAGGCAACTACCTTCATAGGCAACATCACAGCTGAAATGGAGCCACAGAAATGACTGATTTGGAACACAAATATAGCTCCTCATGTAAAACGCACAATTGATTTCAAGTTAGCATTTTGTTTAACTAATGACATGATGTTCTAATAAGCACAAATATTGGATAAAATAGTGCATTTTAATTGTATTTAAATTTTTGCATTACATTTATTTTTGTATTTACAATAGTGCATTTTAATTGAAAAAAAAATTTCTACTCTTGATTGTAATGTAGAAACATACACTTCCTGTAAAGCTGCTTTGAAATGATACTTATGGTGAAAAGCGCTATACAAATAAACATAAATTGAATTGAATTATTTCAAATTTATTTTTAAATATTATATAAATATAAGTCAATATTTGTTGTCTTTTATTGATATTTTGCATGAGGTTTTAAGTGTTAATTAAATGTTTTATATATTATGTAAATATAAAATATAATTTTAAGTGTCAATTAAATATATATTTATTATTATATATTAATATGAATATAAATACTTTAAAATATTTTATTGGTACTTTTCAATATTGCATGAATTAATTTGTTAATAAAAACATATTCCTAAATATTATGTATAAATATATAAATGTTATATATAAATATAATTAAATATTTGTATTGATAGTTTTCAGTTTTGCATACATTTAATTGTTGATTAAATATATTTTAAAATATTTAAGGGGGTCTGAATACTTTCCGTACCCACTGTATATAAATATAAGAAGTTTATTTATAGTCTACTTTATAATTCTCTGCAAAGGATAAATGCAATGCTTAGACTGAAATGAGGTATCTAAGAAGGCATTATGGTTATGACAGCCTCAAAATGCTCCCTTCATAGGCAGCTCACTAGGTTTTGAAACAAAGTTTAAGTGTTCTGTGTTATTCTGATCTCTGATGTGTCTCTTCCAGGCACCTGTCATCTGTGTTGGGTAATAAATTTGATCACGGAGCCGAGAACATCATGCCAACGTTACTGAACCTCGTCCCCAACAGCACTAAAGTTATGGCCACGTCTGGGATGGCAGCGATTCGTCTCATTATACGGGTACGTGTAAACACACACACACACACACACACTCTCTCTCTCTCTCTCTCTCTCTCACACACACACACACACACA